GGGGTTCCCCAGGGCTCAGTCCTCGGGCCTGGACTGTTCAACATCTTCATCAGCAACTTGGACGAGGGGGTGAAAAGCACCTTGTTCAAGTTCATGGATGATGCTAAGATGTGGGGAGAAGTGGGCATGTTAGAGGGAGGGACAGCTACAACTAGACCTGGACAGGTTATAAGAGTGGGCAGATGAGAACAGGATGGGTTTCAATACTGACAAGTGCAAGGTGCTGCACCTGGGGAGGAAGAACCAGCAGCATACCTACAGGCTGGGGGACTCCCTTCTTATCAGCACAGAGAGAAAAGGACCTTGGAGTCATTACTGATTCCAAGATGAACGTGGGCCACCAACATGAGGTCATGGTCATTAGGGCAAACCGCACCTTGTCATGCATCCACAGATGCATTGCGAGCAAGTCCAAGGAGGTGATCCTTCCCCTCTATGTGACATTGGTCAGGCTGCAGTTGGAGTACTGCATCCAGTTCTGGGCACCGCACTTCCAGAGGGATGTGGACAGCATCAAGGGGGTCCAAAGGAGGACCACTTGCATGATTGGGTGGCAGCAGGGCAGACCCTACGAAGAGAGGCTACAGGACCTGAACCTGTACAGCCTTCTCAAGAGAAGGCTGAGAGGGGATCTGGTGGCTATCTGTAAATTTACCAAGGGGGACCAGTGGGGAACGGGAGAGACCCTGTTCCCCCGAGCACTACCAGGAGAAACTAGGAATAACAGCCATAAGTTGACTGAGAGTAGGTTCAGGCTGGACATCAGGAAGCACTACTTCACAATCAGGGTGGCTGGGATCCGGAACTAACTTCCAAGAGAAGTGATGCTGGCTCCTACCCTGGGGGTCTTCAAAAGGAGGCTAGATAATCACCTAGCCCATGGCAGGGAGTTGGATTTGATGATCTGCTCAGGTCCCTTCTGACCCTACGAACTATGAAACTATGAAACTAAGAATATGAAACAAAATCTCCTTAACAAGTATGCCAGCCTAACTTGGCTTGCTGAAGATCTGCTCAGATAGGAAGGTCTTAAAGCATTTTTAGGAGATGTTCAGGCTGCAGGCTCTTGCAGACCTGTAGGGATGTGAGTTCCAAAACTGAGGTGCAACTACTGAGAACAACCATGTGTTTTTGCCAAGTTAAATTAGTTCACTGATGATCAGGGATCCTGGTTTTCTATGATAAAAAATATCCCCAATTTTCGGGCTAAAAAATGTAACCCAAAATCCATATTTTTCATCATTAAAATGAGACGACACTAATACATAAATACATATATATTGTTGTTTCATTTTGATCATGGAAAAATGAGGATTTTGGGTTATTGTTTTAACCCCCAAATTAGGGACTTTTTAACGGAGACAGCCAGGATCCCTGCTGATGATACTGGTAAGTGGTTGCTAATGGCTGATTTTAGAGATCATGCTGAGCCCTTAGACACACAGGGCTTGTTCTTTTAAGAAATTAGAACATAATTTTATCCTTTTATCAGGATCAGAGAAATGAAGTTTTGGAATGGTCTTTGCACAAAGTAATGGGAGTAAATGACTCAAATTGCATTAGTATGGAGCTTGACAGGTTTACAGAAGAGGCTAGGGATGGAGCAATACCCAAAGCATGTGATATATAAATTCAAGAATTTGGTGCCTCCATTATGGGATTGACAGGAAACTTTATTTCCATATTGGCAATATCTGGTAAGCTGCTGGTCACCTACATGGGTCAGGAAGTATACTTTTTTTGGCTTCTGTTGTTTATTATTATTATTATTATTATTTCCCTATCTGAAGTATTGGATTTTGGCCCAACTTAGAAGTGGAAGTTTGGCTGGGGTATACTAGTGCTCTTACTAGTATCTGGAAGCTGCCCAGAAATGTGGTGGGAGGGTCTTGGGCATCTACTCAGAGTCAAACCTTTCATCTTATTTTGGGTCAGGAAGAAAGATTTTCCCCAGGTCAGCTTACTGTGGATTCCTCCCCTACCCTCACTCCCCCTTTTTTTCTATAGCAGAGAACACAGTCCTCTCCTAGGACAATCTGAGCACATATTAATGTCAGGAATTTCCTTGCAGAGGTGGCAGAGCATTGCCAGTTCTTCTCTCCCCTGTTTTTTTTACATTTGGCAAGTTGTAGGGCTTTTTCCCTCCTTTCTCCTGAGTGTGATTTTTCTTTCTCATGGTGTGTGAGAAATGTGTGGACCCACTGGACAAGTGATTGAATTTCTGAGGAACCCCCTTCTAGTTTTAGGTATCATAAAGCTGAAATACAAAACAGTTAGAAAGTATTAACTTCATTTGCAACAGATCCCCACTCCCTTTTAATATGATATAACTTTTCATCTGTTTATACAATAAGATATTTTAGTTGTTTGTTCCCTCCTTGTATAAATGGGAATGGGGTAATGGAGGAGTGCTCATATTCCAGAGCCAAGGATTTTGCATTAAGTTTATTTCTCTTTGGCTATCAGAACTTTATTTGATGGCCTTCAGCATATGCCACAAGACCTACTTTTTGGCCCAACCCTTTTTGGGGGGAAGACAGTTTACTGAGGTCAAGTGAAGGATTATAAGGGTGACATGTGGAGGTGGGAAGATACTTTTGGAGATCTTTATCATAGAATCATAAAAAATTCGGGTTGGAAGGGACCTCAGGAGGTCATTTAGTCCAACCCTCTGAAAGCAGGACCAGCCCCAATTGGATCATTCCAGCCAGGGCTTTGTCAAGCTGGATGGAGTTTCCACCACCTCTCTAGGTAACTTGTTTCAGTGCTTCACCACCTTCCTAGTGAGAAAGATTTTCCTAATATCCAACCTAAACCTCCCTTGCTGCAACTTGAGATGATTGCTTCTTGTTCTGTCATCTGCCATCACTGAGAACAGTCTAGCTCCATGCTCTTTTGAACCACTCTTCAGGTAGTTAAAGGCTGCTATCAAATCCCCTCTCAGTCTTCTCTCCTGAAGACTAAATAAGCCCAGTTCCCTCAGCCTCTCCTTATAAGCCATGTGCCCCAGCCCCTTCACCATTTTTGTTACTCTTCACGGGACTTTCTCCAACTTATCCATGTCCTTTCTATAGTGGGGGACCCAAGACACAGTACTCGAGGTGTGTCCTCACCAGTGCATAATAGAGAAGAATAATTACTTCCCTCAGTCTGCCTGCATCACTCTTACCAATGCAGTCCAGTATGCTGTTAGCCTTCTTGGCAACAGGGGCACACTGCTGACTCATAGGCATATTATTTTCCACTGTAACCCCCCAGGTCCTTTTTTGCAGAAAAAGGACCTGGGGGTTACAGTGTGGTCTCTCATGTGTTCTGTAGCGGTGGCCCTAAAAGTTTGCTGATTGTTTCTTAATTATTACATTGTGCTAAATAAGTAGAGATATGGCATATATGGGTACAGTTGATAAATACACTGAAATTTAAAAAAAGGAAAACAGTCTCCACTGAGATAGTACCATTCACCATTAGACTCTTAAGGAGACAGTATGTGAGATTTCAAGTTAAACCTAAATATTTCTCATAAAGCACTTTGTAGTTGTGTCATTCACCTCATTGAAAGTAATTTCTTTGGTTTTATAATTCCATCTTTTATCAGTAGAACAAGTTGATAGTTATTTATTTTATATTTAAAGGGCGGCTTCTAGACAAGCATCTTATTTTCAGTCATCTGCTAGTACAGGAAAAACTACATGCGTACTCTGTGCGAGGAGGGCACGTACTGCAGATGAAGAAGAGAGACAAGAAACCAGAAAGAGGTAACATTTTTGCTAATCCCTTCAGATACTTTTAATGACTCCAGCCCTGTGCAATAAACTTTTTTGTCAGTATAATCTTCAGGGAGAAATACTAACTACAGTGAAATTGATGGTAACATTTCCATTGACTTCAGTGGAATAAAGTATTTACTTTAAGAGTTTATTGTTGTATGTATCACTAAACATGCTAATGTTATTAGAAAGCAGAAGGGCATTTTAGTAAGGGCTGTTGGTACAAATCAGCTGATCTTGGAAGAAAACTACTGAGGAAACTGTGAAAGATGGAAAGAGTCAGTAGCAGAGCTATCTAAAAGCCATCCATGATGTTATGTTCAACATTAATCTGCCATGACTGGAATACCAACGTGTTGAGTATCTTTTAAGTCTCATATTTCATATATCTTCATGTCTAAGTTTTTCTCTAGGTTGATTGTGTGGAAAAAAGGACAAACATATAACCAGAATAAATTGGAGTATACTTGAATTTAATACTTTTTTAGATCAAGTATATTATATTCCTACTGAATACTAAAATGATGTCTTTGGGCCAACTTAACTGTACTAAAATTCTCTCCATAACATCCCATCTATCAAGGGGGCTTACTGTCTCATCTCAGTTACAGCACTGAAATGAACTCCTTTAATAAATGTGCTGACAACTATATTCCTGTTTTGTTAATTTGAGTATCTGCAATGTACCCTGACATACTGTACAGTAACTATACCAGAGACATAGATGTTGTATGACATAAAAGTTCCAGAGATAAGAACATATTCTTCTTTTCTTTTGGAGCTAAACTAACAGGTACTTTTTTTATTATGCCACAATCCTTTTTATTTATATAGATACAGAACATGTAAAAATGGTAAAATAGCTTTAAAATAGCACATAAATTAGGGCCCAATCTAATGTCAACTGAAAAAATCCCAGTGTTTAATGGCTTCAGTTGACATTGGGCTGATTACCTAATGGTCAACCTGTTCTATGGTGTGACTCACAAAATGGGACATATTCCGTTAGAAGGTTTGTGCAGATTACCTAATGGAGTTTTCCTTAAATCATTCTAGTGGAAACAGACAGGGAGTGTCTACACATGAATTTAAGTGGGCTTACATTTAATGCGTATTGAACTAATGTGGATTAAGCGGGTTTTGGCAGGTATCTACACGTGGTAGGATTTTGGATTAACTTTAGTCCCAAATTGCTTCAGCCTTTCCATGTGCCCCTCTGGCCACCGGGGGGAGCTCCAGCCTCTGGACACACAGCTGCCAGTACTTGGCAGCTATGCTGAAGCCAGAGCTAGCTGCCAGCATTTGGCATCCATCTTGAAAGCACCCCCCACCCTCTCATCCCTGGCCAGCCCCTTCCCAGCCTAGAAGTTGTGTGCCCAGCACCAGGCAGCATTCAGCAGCTCCTTACTTTGCTCACCCTGCCTCCCTGTGCCAGGGCTACTCTTGCCCCTGTCAGTGATGCCCAGCACCCTGCTGTTCCAGCCCAGCCCCTGCCAGTGACGACCAGTGCACACTGGCCACAGTGCTGGCCCTGCTGGTCCCAGCAAGCACCCCCACCCAAGCCACAGGAGAGTCACGCACCTGCCAGTAGGGGCCAGGGCACCAGCTGCTGGAGACCCTGGCTCACCCCCTCCTCCTGCACTCCCTTCTCCAGCCCACCTGTGCCGCTTCTTACACACTCCCTACCCCCTGCCCACCCCCAGCACCACTCTCAGGACACACACATGGTTGAAACAAAAAAAAACCCATTATGCTTACAACACCCACCCTATCCATCCCCCTGACAACAAACAGTGCTTCTCCACCATCTTTCCTACCCACCAACAATAAAAAACTTGCTTACAAATGGCATACTATACAGCAGCCCAGCCCTGAGGGAGGAGAGGCACCCAGGCAGGAGAACTGGTGCTGGGCTCTGGCCAGGCCCCTAGTGGCTGGGCAGACCCAGGATGAAGTTCCCTGTGCTAATGCAGACTAACATTTTCACACATTTGTTAATCTGCATTAACTCATCCTGTTTAAATTTGATACTTGGTTTGGGCAGATATCAAATTTAGGCTCACATAGCCTAAAATCACCATTTTAAACTGCATTAAGGGTGTGTACATGTAGGCATGCACCCCTAATGAGGCTTAAATTGGGCTAATCCACATTAAATAACCATGTGTACATACACCCAGAGAGAACCATTGCCTACACATGGTTCCCTATGGCTGCTCACTGTCAATCACAAAGGCATAATTTTCTCAGGTGTATTTAGCTCTGCTGGTGTTTACTTCCAGCCTTCTATCTGAAAGCAGCATTATCACATGTAGGGGTTTGTCAAACTTTATCTGTGATGGGTGCTATCCCAGTTCCACAACTGGATCATTTCAGGTTTTGGAGGACTCAACTCCATTTGTTCCACTTGATATTTGAATAGGGTGGTGGATTCAGGATTTTACCTCCAATTGTTAGAATAACATATTGATTTTTCTTAACATCTACAAAAATGTAGAATATAGATAATGAAGAAAACCAATCAAGCAAACAAGGAAAGAAAAGGAAAACCTATAATACACAAACCCAAAAGGTAAAAAAACCAAAGAAAGAGACTAATTAGTCATTAGCAATTTTGGGCATTGACAGGCATGGGAAAAAAAAAGTGCTTTATTCGAAGCAGCATCATGTTACTTTTACCAGGCTCTGTAGCATCTGTATAGATTGGGTGCTTCAGCATGGCTTTTTGGCACTTTTCTCTAACAGCTGATGCAATCAGCTGTTAGAGAAAAGTGCCAAAAAAGCCCCAGTAAAGCGCCCAATCTATAAAGATGCTGGGAAAGCCAGGTCCAAATAACACAATGCCTCTTTTTGGCATGCCCTGGGCTCAGTGCAGGAGTGTGCCAAGTTTAAAGTAAAGCGCCATTTTTCCCCTATGTCTGTAAGCAGCCTTAATGTTTGATTTCTGTCTGGTATGTTCTCACAATTCAGTTCTATTTGTAGAATCTTTGGGCCACTTTCTCAGCTGAAGTATATCAAGATAACTCCACTGAATTCATAGGAAAGTCAATTTATACCAGTTAATATTAGCATAACATCGGCCCTCTAAATTCACAGTGAAGAGAAAGGAACCAGAATACTCATTCATTTGCAGTTCATAAGATGTTTGTTGTGATAACTTGTGAGCAAGGTAATAGTTTACATAACCAGGAACTCTGGAATGCAGCTAATGGGGCTTCAGCTGCTCTTATTTGTCTATTAGTGACAACATTAAAGCTTTGATGCTGGGTTAAAATTATGAAATTTCTTTTCTATCACATAGAGCTCTTGAGCACAGGTCTCAGACAAGTGAGGAGAAACGAACCCGGTTTGCCACTGAGTTATCTTATTTGCAAGATGAGATTCATTCTGCCAGGCACCTTGCTAGAGAACAGCTGGATAGACTTACTATACAAAGAATGGTATTGTAACAGAACATTTTTATTTCCTCTCAAAACAAAACTGTAAATTAATCTGTGCTTTGGAACCATACTTCTAATGCAACAGTAGCTAGTGTTTCTTAGGGCCTTGTTACATGTTTCACATGTAACATGTGAAACATGTTGGGGGGAGGTGGGTAGTGGAGTCCCCCAGGGCTCGGTCCTGGGGCCTGCGCTGTTCAATTTCTTCATCAGCGATCTTGATGCTGGGGTGGAAAGCAACCTGTTTAAATTCGCTGATGACACCAAAATTTGGGGGGAGGTGAGCACGCTAGCAGGGAGAGAGAGATTGCAGAAGGATCTGGATAGGTTACAGGGGTGGGCAAACAGGAACAGGATGTGTTTCAATACGGACAAGTGCAGGGTGCTGCACTTGGGTAGTAGGAACCAGCAGCACACTTATACGATGGGGAACTCCCTACTTGAGAGCACGGAGGCGGAAAGGGATCTTGGTGTCATTATTGACTCCAAGATGAACATGGGCCGACAACGCGAGGTCATGGTTGGCAGGGCTAACTGGACCTTGTCGTGCATCCACAGGTGCATCTCGAGTAGAGCCAGGGAGGTGATCCTCCCCCTCTATGCGACGCTGGTCAGGCCGCAGCTGGAGTATTGTGTCCAGTTCTGTGCGCCCCATTTCAGGAGGGATGTGGACAACATGGAGAGGGTCCAGAGGAGGGCCACCCGCATGATCCGGGGACAACAGGGCAGACCCTACAGTGAGAGACTGCGGGACCTGAACCTATTCAGCCTCCACAAGAGAAGGCTGAGGGGGGACCTGGTGACCGTCTATAAACTCACTAGGGGGAACCAGAAGGGTTTGGGGGAGACGCTGTTTCCCCTAGCCCCCGCTGGCATAACAAGGAGTAATGGGCACAAGTTGATGGAGAGGAGGTACAGATTGGACATCCGAAAAAACTACTTCACAGTTAGGGCGGCTAGGAGCTGGAACCAACTTCCAAGGGAGGTGGTGCTGGCCCCTACCCTGGGGGTCTTTAAGAAGAGGCTGGATGCCTACCTGGCTGGACTCATTTGAGTCCCGTTTTTGTTTTTAGGGTTTTTTGTTGTTCTCCCGCCCTGGCGGGGGGTCGGGCTAGAAGATCTATTAGGTCCCTTCCGACCCTAAAACTATGAAACTATGAAACATCAAGATGCTCAAATGTTGATCCATGATAGTACTAGCTTTAGTTTGGAGCAGTCACACTTTAAGGCTAAAAACCTTCTCTGACTGTTCCCCACCTGCACAGCTGTGACTTGCCACTAGAGGCATAGCAAGCAGAGGCCTAACTAAGAGCTACACCAGTGACTTTCCATTACAGGGTCGGCGAGCCAGGATAGGCTTCTATTCCTTTTCTAGGTTGGGGCATGTGAGAGATAAGTGGTGCTGGGAGAGGGGGTGGGGCAGGAACATTGACTGGGAGGCAGAGAGTTTAATAGGATGGAGGTGGGTAGTAAAATAGGAGGTGGAAAGGAACTGGGTTGGAGGAAGGGTGGTGAGATGAGAGAAGTAAGCCACTGAAGGATAAAATAAAAGAAAAAAAAATAAAATAAAGAGTAAATTAAAGAATAAATTGGAATGTGGGATTGGGGTGCAGGGGGTACTGGTCATACTTTCTGAGGTGGGTGGAAGGTGGGAGCAATGAGAGAAGGCACTTTTGGGGGAGCTACTGCCCCTGCCCTGGGGAGGAAGTCCCAGCTCATGGGGACCTATTCCAGCCCCCTACCTTGTTTCCCACCACCCACCCTAGACTCCATTCCTGGACCTGTCTGTGCCCTGTGACCTGACTAGCTGGTATGTGCTCTGCAGGCTGTTTGCATGGGGTTGCATACATGAGGGTGGGAAGGTCACACCTCTGGAGGTGGGAGGCAGAGTTAGCTTGGTGCCAGAACCGGCCCCTGGGCAGTAGAGTTCTGGGGGTGTAAAGTTTGCCCACACAGGACAGGAGGATGGGAGAGGGATAAAATGTTCCCTCTGAGGTTTAGCGATCCGTGAGCAATCCTGGCTGGGAGTGCGTGGGTATCTCAGTGTGCCCGCCCCTCCCTGCTCCTGCAGCAGCCTGTGGCTGGATAGGGGCAGGTGGCGAGCAGCTGGATGGAAAGCCAGCAGTGGTGGCACCCCCTTGCTACAGCACTGGGCATCCCCCCAGTCCAGCACCTGGGGGCCATGGCCCCTTACTGCCCCTTCCCGTTGGTATGCCACTGTGTACGCAGCATTAAAAAGTTATTGCATAGCATGATTTTTTATTGCGCGTGGCCATGCACGCGCGCAGCTTAGAGGGAAGGCTGGAAGGGTACTGCATCCTGGGATGCTGAAGGGCTGCAACTTGGGTGGCTTATTTCTGGGGAGTGTCCATACATTATTGAAACACAAGCTTGGTAACACAGATGAGAGATAAACTTGCCTTGGAGTAGCATAACTTTAAGCCACCTAAAGAGTGCCTAAAACCAATTTCATGTGTTAATGTGTGGACAATCCAGGTGTTAAGAACTCCAGGAGCTGTTTAAAATTAATGTGTAACAAGGCCCTTAGTTTTTGTTCATAGAGTCTGACTCCAGATGACTCTAGTGTTTGATTCGGCTCCTTCTCATCACTTTTTACTTCTGACCTGTGTAACAGCTGGAAGAAAGGATGGCCTTGGAAAGGTATGCTGTTGAAGAAAGTATAAGTCGAGCTCCTGAAATTTTGGTGCGCCTGCGGTCTCACACAGTTTGGGAAAAGATGTCTGTGAGTCTTTGTTTCACTGTACAAGGATTTCCTACTCCTGTCGTACAATGGTAAGTATCTGGGCCTTTTTAGTTCTCTAAAAGTGGTGGTAAATTAGCTATGACATGACTTCTAAGTGCCACATACACTTCAAAAACCTTCATAATCCTCATAGACATGTTAGATAGTAACTGTTGATGCTGTAGTGAGAGGAACAGAAGTACAAAATTTGTATAACAGATACACGTAGCATAATAAGTACATTAATATTTCAAAATGCAAACTATAAGAGGACTCAGTAATACATTTTGATTTAACTGATAAATAAATGATAACATAGATTGAGTTTTGTTAATGATAAATGTTTTGATGTTTTATTCCAGACAGCAGTACATAGTAGTTAAATAGTGGAAAGTAAGTGAGATTAACCAAACCTGATGTTGTGGGAGTAAATTTGCCTATCAATTGAATGAGTTACAACTACACTGAAAATAAAGGGATTCCAGTGGTGTAACTGATAGATAATTTAATCTGTGAAGTTTATCATCAAAGCATTATAGCCTGAAGCATATTCTTAGACCTCTTTGAATGAGACAGAAATCCTGGTAAAAAGCAAATCTTTATGAAAATCTCAGGATCCTTTTATTCAACACTACAATTTGAAATGTGCATTCGGGTGCATTAGGCAAATGCTTCTTGTCATCAAAAGAAGATATTTGAAGTCTCTCTTCTGCTCTAGAAGGCTGTGTATTGAAAAGTAGAGTCAAGTTAATTTAGAATAATAAAGATGTTATCCTTGATTATACAATCATTAGTACACCTCAAATGCTTGTATTTAATGTAGGAAATGTAGCAGATAAAAAAATATCTCTACCTTACTTGTAAAATATTATCCCTTAACTTTATTTGAAGTGGAAATGTGGGACCAGAGCTTTGCTTCCAGCTTCATTTTGCAGTCTAACGGAAAGGGAGAATTATGTTATTTGAGAAAGAAGCTGAGGACTTCTATAGCAATGACAAAACAGGAGCAGACATTAGGGTTGGTATACCAGACCTGTTCCAGACCTTCATGCTTCTTCCTGTCTCTCCCTTCCCAGTATAAGGGTATTTCATTGTGGTCTGGATGCATCTACAGATCATGTCAGGATAGGGAATGAGTTTAGAAGATCAAACTTTCAGGTAGTCTTGGCCACTATTTTATAAGGAGTTAGAGTAGCTTTAGGGCTGCTCTTATAGAGGGGATTACCAGTCACTAGCAGCTCCCTGGATCAAACAGCACATTGAGGTCACCTACAAAACTCTTCCCCAGGTTCATAAAGTGCTCCTGTATGTCTACGGGAGTAGAATTTTACCCTCAGGTTATGCTAACAGAGCCTGCTTTAGATTTTATTTGTGCCAGCATATGTATAGTTGCCCTCATCAAGATGAAAAAATAGTTGTGAGATATAAAACAGGTCAATAGTTTCTCTGTACTCAACTTACCTTCCCAGCCCTCTTCATCTTTATTCTGTACTTTTCATTGGCACATGGTGGTAATGATCAGGAATAAGCTGTGTGTATAGTTTTCTGTATTTTGGTTACATGTCCAACTTTAGTTTACATGGGAAAACAGGTTATGGTTCATAACTTCATATGTAGACAAGGTTCTTTGGGTGAATCTGATATCTTTTATTAGACCAACTGAAATAGTTGGAAAAAAATGTTAAGTTTTCACATTTAAAAACCCTTCATCAGGCTGACAAAACACACACATTTAAACACATCAAAAAACACCCTAAACACCCCAAAAAGCTGTGATATATATCCAAGCCCTCAGATCCCACTGAATTTGCACTGAGAACACCACCAATCTTAAAAAGGCTTTCACCCAACAAGGACACTCCTCCAGAGAGATAGATCGCATGTTTGAAAGAGCCACCCGGATACCACATGAAGAATTGCTGCAGTAACCCCCCCCACCCTCCAAAATCGCACACTTCTGGTTATGACATATCACCCCTCCCTCAAACCCATATGGAAAATCCTCAAACCATTGCAGTCCATACTAGAAAGAGACCCTAGTCTTAAAGAGTTCTTCCCAGAACCACCCATCCCAGCCTTCAAACAAGCACCAAACCTCACTAACCTCATCACCAGAAGCAAACTTCCTTAGTCCCAGAACACACGGAATAGATCCAGACCGTGCCATGACAAGAAATGCAAAACCTGCCAACACATCTCCACCACCCCCACTATTACTACACCCCACAACAGAGCCATCAGCATTCCCAGATCTTACAGCTGCACCTCCAGAAATGTAATATATCTCATCCAATGCACCAAATGTCCCAATGAAAAATACGAAGGAGAGACCAAACAACAAGTGCGCACCAGAATGAACGCACACCGGAAATCTATCAAAGACAGAAATACCCAATTACTGGTGGGGGCACATTTCTCACAAGAAAACCACTCTACAATCTCTCAGTCCTGATCCTCAAGGGAAACTTACACAACACTTCCCAGAGATGAGCCTATGAACTCCACTTCATCAACCTCCTGGATACTAAAAATCACAGACTAAATATAGACATTGGATTTATGACACATTATAACCTGCCTGACAACTGACTCCCCAGGTACCTCTCCACCATTCATCCCCCTTCTCTCCCCCTACCCAACCTGTCTCTCACCTACTGACTTCTCAATTTACATCTTCACTGACTGCCTGTCTTGTATGCATACCAGCTCAGCCTCTGGCTTCTTTACTTGTCATTCCATCCAGGAAGAGCACACACCAACTGCAGAGACTTCGTCAGCCTGACAAAGGGTTTTTAAACCCAAAAGATTGCCTAATTTTTCCCCCCAGCTATTTAAGTTGGTCTAACAAAAGATATCAGATTCACCCAGAGAACCTTGTCTGCCTATGTCCTTAGACCAACACGGCTACAACCTATACCCCTGTAACTTCATATGTTATTTTTAAGTGCAGCATAAATATTCAGATAGCAGTGAGATTGCAGTGGTGTAGACTGAATTGTAAAGCTCATTCCTGAGAAAAGCTTGTATTGTATCCTAGGAGCAGCTCTGGAAAATAACTGTCTTGGACAGCCCCTGCTCCTATATTGCTCTTTTATTTCCTTTAAGATGAAGCAATTTATTGGAGACTTGATGAAGATGAAGCTTATTGTATTGCCTTTTGTTCATGTTCATTTCTACCAGCTGGTATGCTGGGAGATTCAGTACCCACCATCTTGTTTCTGTGTAATTTCCACTCATCTGCTATGGGGAGGAGTCTTGGGCAAGTAGTAGGATTTCCCCTCTCTCTCCTGAATGACCAAATACAGGCAAACTTGTATGTATGCCTTTATATTTATCCATGTATACTGTACAAAGAGAGAACACTATTATCAATAAATTACAGTACACTAATTTGTATGACAGTTTTTAGTAACTGCAACTTATTTTTCTTCTGAACTTTAGGTATAAAAACGAGGCATTGATTACTCCTGCAAGTGAACCTGGAAAGTACAGAATTGAAAGCAAATATGGAGTGCATGTGCTGGAGATAAACAGGTAGATTACTTTGGTGAACAAAAGAATATTAGGACTTTTAACAGAAACCATTTACTTCAGGTACATTTGAGATGTACATAATGTACTGCAAGGCAGTCATAAAACACAGCACAGAACTTCTGCTCAGCTGCTACTTTTGCAGGGAACATTGGATGCTCAAAGCTATTTCTATCACATAATTTCTATTGCTAACAAGATGAAGAAAGGCTGGAGACAAGTAAGCAGAAACACAATATTTTGGCTTTTGGAAGCTTCTGTTTGAAGTTTGAATCCACATGCCAGTGAGTGGAACTGCTTCCTCATCATTAATGGTCCGTTCCGTCATGGCTGAACTTTTGGTTCAGGTCTCAAAGGTTAGAAAAGCTCAGCAGGTCATCACTAGGACATTCAGATCTCACTGTCTGGCTCTGGTATACACTAGCTCTGTTCAAATTAGCTTCAGATCTTTATTCCTCTTCTTATAACTAGGGTTGGGAGATTCTGGTAGTTTCTTTTAAAACGTTGTAAATTCCAAAAGATACATTTTATCCAATTTTTACCATTTATGTTTTGCATGGAAATGTTATGGTCATGACATAGGACGTTTTTTGGAGAAAACAACAACTTTTCTTGAAGTTAAGTTAACCCTTAGATGGGATATGTGGTTTCAGTATTATATGTTATCAGTAGTATATGGGTGAGTGAGTGGGACCCATGCCCTGGGCTCTGCTAGCAGGTGCTGGAAAGAAGCTAAGGGGGCAGCTCCTCCTCTATTCCCACCCCCTCCTCCTTCCTAGCTTCCCATTACATTCTGCACTCTCCCTCCTCCAGCTCCAGCAGCAGAGAGGACAGAGCAGTATCACCAGTAGCTGGAAGTTTGCTGCAGCTGGGAGAGATGTCAGCCTCTTTTTGTCACTTTCCTTTTGTGTGTCCTTGTGACAAGATATTTAGCAGAATTTGAAGATTTGTTAGACTCTGATGGACTGCTCCATGAACACCTCTGCTATGGTCTTTAAACTTGCAAACTTCAGGCTGTTAACTGTGTGCTTTAGTGCCCATGCCACCCCAGCCCATTTTTTGTCACTGAAAACCAGTGATTTTTGGCTACTCAGAACACATGACAACAGCAAATAAGAGGGGTGAGGAGGTGATGTCTCCCTCAGCAGCAGCAAACCACTGGCTGCTGCTCCTGAGCTGCTGTAGCTGCTTTGTCCTTTCCATTGCCAGAGCCAGAGCTGGCACTGGAGCAGGGAAGGTGCAAGGTGTAAGGGGGAAGGGGTACAGCTCTGCCTAGGATACAGTACTGGTTACAGTTATGCCTTTGTATTGTACATAGGAAGTATGATTTGGTTACAAAATAAAGAGTGAAGAACTGCAATTCAATAGTGTCAAGCCAGAAAAAAGTGTATAGTAGGGGCAGATGAAAACGTTCAAGGAGCTGGAGTGCTTGCAGCTAACATTTTGCTGGCCAAATATTCAGCTTCCAAGTTTGTCTCCAGCTGTCAGAAGCAGCAGCACTTAGACAAGCCAGGCAACATTCAGGAAACAATAGTGCATCATTATTCTGCTTCATGCAGGCACTCCTGGGTCTAGCTCTCTTGAGAATTACTGAAGCCCAGCTTCTTTTTCCCTACCCAACATTTGTTTGTGTAGAAAGAGCTGGGAAAAAACAATGCTATTTCTTCGTTTTGGCTTTAGTGAGGAAGGAGAGATTTATTTTTATCCGGGAGCCTTCACTAATCTATACTGGGTTCTTCTTCACCTTTATGTGGAGAACCTTATGGCCTTCTACCCTCTCTTTAGCATTCAGCTTGTTGGCATCCTCTCTAGGGAGCAGATCATGGCTGGCCCATTCCATTTGTTCTTGCTCTTTGGGGATCAGGGAAGGAAGCCGAGAGAAGCAGATAGATTTCGTATTCTACAAACCTCTCTTGCAGCTGTGAGAATGGAAAAACTATTCACTACCTAATAGGGGTGGTTGCAAATGAGTGATGTTTAGGTGATTGAATACCAGTGGGTGGCCTCTGGGGGAGGTATGTTGGTGCCTTATTTGGTGCCAGGGGATGGTTGTTTGCATGTATGTGGATACCAGTGAATAATGTGTGGGTGAGTGTGAAGGCTTTTGAATGCCTTTTGTGCTGCCAGTGCATAGCTGCCAGCAGGGATGGGTATAGGTGTAAATGCCAGAGGGTGGTTTTTTGGGTGACTGTGGGGGGGTACCTAGCTGGGAGTGTGCTTGGTGCACCTGACTCACCTAAATGGTTTTGCCCCTACCCCCAGGCAAATGCCCACGATCACTTTCTTCACCACTGGCCACTGGCACCTGCATCACTTAGCCTTGCTCATGTTCTTCCAAACAGCCATCTGATGGGAGCCACAGACTTGTGTTCACTTAGCTTTTTCCTGTTCTCTGCTAACATTTTTTTTTTCCAAATTGGAAATGCCCAAATGCTATCTTAATTTTTAAGCTTTTATTTATTGAAAAGTTATTTGTCATCTCTGGCATTATATAACTACTTCAGGTCCCTGACTATTTCTAACTCAAATGCATAGAGATTATGGAATTAACATTGCTAAAATCAGCTGCATTTTTATTACCATTGACTTCAGTACAAAATTAGTTCATGGACTGTGCTCGTCTTCCCCATAATGAGATAAATACAACATTCAGGAAATACTGATATCCCTTTTGAATACTAGTACTGCTTATAGCTCATATTTGGAAATAGCAAAGTTATGGCTCAGTTGTTCAAATGAAGAAAAATGTAAAAGATCTAGCCATCTGAAATGTTATTTTTTTTCTGGGTGTAGAACAGTTAGGATTACCCACCTACCCACTTCTATGCTCTTCTCAGCTGTTCATACCAAAGTGCTGAACTGCATGTCATCTGATCTGTGGCCACTTTAAATGGCCTTGGAATTTGTTGGCTGTCTTCACAGCACTCCTCTGATGTTTATGGAGTGAACTTTTCCTTCTGATGCAAGGGTGATATTTATTCCTATGAATATTTCTTGGCTCCACTGGAAAAATTCTTGAGGTGCCAAAACCAGAGCATCACCTCACATTTAAAAGTTGTAACTGGACACACCTTTATCTGCCCATTTCTCCACCTTAGATTCAAAATAAAACTGTACAGTAACTTGGATAACTTTCAGATCTCTAGCTTATATTTTGATTATATCCTATGCTCAATTTACTACATTTTCCCCTTCACATAACATGGCTTTTCATATAGTGTTGCTTGATTGCTGCTGAGACTGGTATTATGCTAACCTTTCACAGTTAGCAACATGAGCTCAAGTTCTCTCTTGAGCTGTAAAGTAAATGGCCCTGAAGGTCACAGTATAATTTATACCCCTCCTAAAAACATATTTCATAGTTCTCAGGAACATAGGATTTGCCATTTTATAGATCCATGTAGTCCCAGGTCCAATCTCTGATAGTGGCCAATACCAAATATTTCAAAGGACAGCTCTGACATATTCCACCCCTTGTGGAAATTTCTTCTGAAACCCATCAATGAGTGGCTGACACATCCCTAGGAGAATGAGGGTTTTGTATCCCCTGTGTTTTTATCCCATCTAATGTAACTGTAGATGTTCTAAATATTCGGATGATCTTTTTTCATTATATCTCCTGATAATCCCTGGCTTTGGATTCCTAGACAAATTTAACATTATTCCCTTTTCACAGTTTAAAATTTTGTTCTTCAATTTCATTGGATGCCTCTTTGTTCTTACAACATAGTTCTGCTATATTCTTTTAAGATCAGGTGGCTGATCAGACTACAGTATTCTAGATGAAGGTGCACTGTTGATTTAGATCAGTGATTCTCAACCAGGATGCTGCAGCCCACTGGGATACCATGAGATCCCTTTAATGATTCTGCTGGGTGCCATGCTATACTGGCACTGTTAAGTGTGGAAACATCTACACATGATTCACAAGACAAAACAAGAGATTTTCAAATAGGAATCCATAGTGCCAAAATATTCAGACGTGTTGTGTTCTTTCTGAGTTCTTTCAGCAGAAGACCTGTTCTATTTTTTTCCAGGAGTGAAAAGTAAGATCTGGTATTTTCTGAGGGGTGCCTTGAGTCCAAGGAGGCATGCCTTTAATTTAACGAGCTTGAGAAATGCTGATTTAGATAATGCCAATAATGACAGTATAATATTTTCCACATTGATCCAATTGACCTAGCAGTAAATGGGTCACCTTAGCCAAATCACTCTTGCATGCAATTGGTTATAGCAGCTGGCATGCCTTAACTATGCTAGACTGATGTTCTTTCTGTTAGGCTCAGGCAGACTTTTGATGAACTGTTTACAGTGGTGCCCAAGCCTTTCCACATCTATTAATTTACATTCAGTAATAGTTGTGAATAATTCAAAGGATTCCTTCAAATATACATCACCTTGCATTTGGGAACTCTGAAGCTGTAGTGATGCTCCTGGCTCTGGGAACAAAAAGGGCAGTGGTATCTATGGGTGGAAACAGATGTCATCTGAAGTCTCATTTGTGCTGCCATAAAAAAATTATGACATTGATACCCTTTGTTGTGACACATGAAAGGAAAATCAGTGGTGTAACAGAAGATGATAATAGACTCTACCCCTTTATTGTGGTGGCTGTCTATTAGCTGTGTGGCAGAAGAGTACAAGCAACCTGAGCTGCCTGAACTCTCCCAGCACTCTGGGCAGATGGTCCTGAGGTATGAAGGGCTCTTAAGCCTCTAGAGCACTTGCCTCCTTTCCCTTCTTACAAAGAGACAACCCAGGGAATCTCTGGGTGCTTCTCCATAAGCAGGGATGTTGAGGTTCCCTGCTCAGCCAGACATTGGGCATGGGTCTAGATGGGCAGGGAAAATACCATCTGTGTTCAGGCACACTTGTGCCTTGGGTCTGACTGGTTAGAGAAAAGCCCTGCTTTCTCCACGCAGTCAGACCTACCTCTGGAGACTGCTGGGGATGGGCCTGGCTAGTGGGGAAAATGGGGCGATCATATCATCCCTTGTCCTGCA